ACACAGGGTTCTGGTCCTGCAGAGTTGCTGTGACCATGTGGAGGGCAATTATCTCCTCACATAGAACTGCAGAGAAGGTGCTGCCAGAGCTCCTCTGTGTGCTGGAGGACTGGCCGCTGCACAGCACATCCACCTCTGATAAGGACGACTCAGATGTCTTTCCTCTGGCCGTGAGTTTCTGGACTAGACCCAAGCACATCCTCAAGGGCTGTCTCTATGGCATCTGTCCATCCTTAGTCCCCCATCCACCATTGCATCCCGTGCCTCACATGGTGTTCTAGAAGCCTGGGTTCATGGCAGTTGCAGAGGCAGCCAGGGCAGATGCTGCTCCCCCTGCATCTGCCCTGGCACAGGGCAAGGCCTGAGCTTCATTCTCCCATGCCTGGACTCTGCCACGGAGATGTCTTGGTGTTGAGTATGGTCTCTGGCTGTTTTGGTTTTTGCAGGCAACCAGAGCACTGTGGGAGATCATTCACCTGCCCGAGTGCCCAGAGATGTTGATTCTGTATTTTCCCCGCCTCTTTGTGGTCCTGCTCTTCCAAGTTTTCTCCAGCACAGAGCGGATGCCAGTGAAAGTCAATGCCTTCTGGAGGCAATGCCAGTACAAGCACTTCCTGCCCAAGAATCCCAACAGGTGCTCCACATGTTCTCCCATCTCCACAGTGCCCTTGGAGCTGGGTCTAGGATTCCTGGCATCAGCTGGGCTTTGCTCTGCACGCAGATTTGCATTGATGACCATGAAAGCACTGCTCTGTGAGCTTAAGTATGAGGATGTGGTGTCTGAAGTTGAACGTGAGTGTGGCTGGGACACACTCCTCAGCACTGATACCCACCACCATACAGTGGGTCTTCTGGCCAGGTGAGAGCCCCATTCTCCCTGCCCCAGCTGTTATTTCTCCACAGTGACCACAGCATCCCTGTGATCATTGGTGAAAGGGACTTGTCACTGAGGGATGGTGCAGCAGAGTGACAAAGCCTTGAAGGGCAGGGTGCACTGGAGGAGCCAGAACCCAGCATCTCTTTCCCTGAGGAGTGCCAGGGTCTCAGTGCTGATGGCACAGGGCAGGAGCTCTGTCTGTGGGCAGCCTCACTGAGGACAGCCTGCTGGGAACAGGGCGGTCGCATTGAGGGCCACTGACAGCCTGGGGGACAGGACTGCCCCGTAGGCAGAAAGGGTGGTTTTCCAGCCTCTTTGTTCCTGAAATGAGCCTGCTGGTGTTCAGCTCCACCTTCCTCCTTGTAAGAGCTAGTGGTGGAAGAAGAGGCTTCTGTGAGTCAGTCCCAGGAGAGTTCTGCCTACCCTCCTACCCCGCTCAGAGTCAACAGTGTCTTTTTTCCCCTGGCAGAGCAATGCTCAGGATCTCACAGCCTTTGTGTTGCCGCATTGCACGCTACCTGTTCAGGCTGCTCCGCAGAGAGGAGGCACGCTGGGAGGTGGCTGCCATGGCCTTCCTTGTTGAGGTGAGCCTGATGGCAGGCACTGCCTTGCCAAGCTGTGTCCCACCACTCTGCCCTCTTGGAGATGCAGATGCAGGGGAGTCCAGTCAGTGAAGGAGGGGCAGAGGTGGGCTCTGCTCTGTACCCTTTGTCCCTTGCTGCTGGGGTGACACCAATAGTTTGTGCTATTCTAGTGACAGCTCCTCCACCCTTCTTCTTGCTTTTTCAGTTCCGGGTTTTTGGGCCAGGGCTTGTTGGGGGGGTTGGGGGGGTTGGGCTTCTTTTTCGGGGCGTTGGAGGTGCGGGTTGTTTTGCGTTTTTTACTTCCTTTGGGCTCTGGTGCCTTTGATATTGCGTATGTCCTTCTCTTGTCCATAGCTAGCCCTGTGCAGTGATAGGTTTGTATCAGCTGTGCATCCCTGTCACTGATTTGTGTTTCAGATCCTGCCTTGCCTTAATGTAAAGCAATGTGGTGAATGCATCCTTCAGCTTTTCCCAATCTACCTATTGAGGCAGTGCACAGTTATGCGTCTCCTGGTGCTTAGATGCCTCATGGTACTCTGCAGGAGGCCCTCTATGGTAAGAAGTAGGCAGGCAGCCAGCCAGTGTGGGGTTGAGTAACACAGTAGCTTGCACTTGGAAGGGCTTCAGAAGATGTGCAGCTTCTTCCAGCTCTGCTGACTTGCCATTCACCTACCAGAGTCCATCAGACCAGGCCTTTGGCTTCTGGGCTCTGAGGCATCAGCAAGGCATTGAACTGCTGGAGCGTTTGGCAGTGCAGCCTTTCATGGCTTCACAGCATTATATTGTGTTCCACGCAGGCTAACACAA